CCACCGGTGACGATTTGATTCTGACGTTATGTGTAGCTTGGCGTATGAAACTTAAATCAAATGAAAGCTAAGATGTAGTTTATTGCGACATGAAACGCGCATACAAATACAGCGAAGTTTACAGAAACGGACTTGGCGTCCTCTCTATGTTTTATAAGCACCAAGAATGTTGACGCAACTTTTAACATGAGTGTCGTTTTTTAAGAACCCAATTCATAATCAAACCTCTGTATATTTAATAGCTCGGATGCAATTGGATGATCGACCACAATGAAAATTTCCGGAATTTAGATGGCAAAGAAAATGTCGGACTAAGCGCGCAATGCCTTGTGGTTGACTAGGATCCTTTAACATCAATTGTAGGCAATTTCTCCATTATTGTTCCCTATATATTTCACTTGGCACTTGCAAAGAGAATTTGTTCAACAATCAAGAGCTTCTTGATTTTGTAATTATTACCTCCAATGGGAGAAATTAGATGTTTATCACTCGTATGGGTTAAAGGGTTCAGGGAACGAACCGAATCAGAGGAAACTAATGACACAAATTCTATCTTCGTTGTTGGCTCTTAGGGATCAGCGCCTTTGCGGATCGTCATAATTGTACAGATTTGATGACGTCCTCCGAATCGTTTGCCCGATATTACTTCCTTGATGTTGTGCAGAGTGAAGAGTTCATGGAAATATCCTCCAAGCAGCTTACACGACTTTTGCGTGATGATACGTTGAACACTCAGTCTGAAGAGAGAGTCTTTGAGGCTGTTTTAGCTTGGATCAAATTTGATTTGGATGGGAGACAGGTGTGTACATTTATATGACTTGCTTTAAGGTTAAAGTTGCATGGTAACTTTTGTAAACCGTAGTCAGAGCTTGATTGTTTGAATTCTGAATAGCGCCCTAACATCAGTATGCATATTCTCGGCTAATGAGCATGCTGATATATTTGCATGCATGTTATTGAGAAATTCGTGTGTCGTTTAAAAGTTGCCGCAGTTTGAATATTAACACAAAAGTAAGCAAAATAGGCCATGTTCAATAGTTTGTGGCTTATTCCGTGTTATGTGAAGAGTAAAATAAGAAGTAATCGCAACTTGACAATTTACATTTTTTCCTTCTGCAGGCAGTTTGCTTGTTTTTTAGATCGAAATGTGATATATTTTCGACTGGCAGTTGTGATTACTTAAGTTTTGGCCTATGACACAATCGAAAAGTATTGTCTCTTTCTAAGAAGCACCTGTTAATCCAGATCAGATAAAAAATAATTGGTCTTCGTTACAGAGTACAGACATGAATGTAACAGTAAATGTGAGCATTAAGTACACAACATGAATCAATACCTATAAGTTGTAATAGTCGGTAATCGGGGTTGTTCCTTTGTCTTTTCGTTTTGATTTTTAGAAATTTGCCGCTGAAATCCTGAGCAATGTGCGGTTTCCTACGCTGTCACCGGAATTCTTAATGGACAGAGTTGCAACAGAGGAAATTGTTAGAAACAATAGGGCTTGCAGGTAAAATCCATCTTTTTACGTAGAGTATTCTTCATAAAAAGTATGATGTAAACATCTGTCGGACAAGTACCTCACGAAATTCGAACCATAGCCTAGGACTAGGCCCTCATTAACAGCGCTACACTACGCGCGTTTCTCCGCCCGCAGGAAGATTTAAGAAGAGAAGGGATTGGTTTGCCGGGGGTCTGGCACTAACTATGGTTTACTGTCAGTCCTAGACCTCTTGCAGTCCTCTCGACGGCTCGCATTGCTTAAGGCCTCATACTTTCCCGCGGGCGAGAAAACGCTCGAGCCGCATCGATAATAATTAACAATTCCACGAGTGCGCGTTGGGTATGAGTTGATATATATCCAATTAGCGGACTTCTTATAAATGAAACCTGCTATGTACAGCTGTTTCGAGAAAAGTTACTAGGAAGAAAGGTATATTTAAGAAAATGAACGACACTTTTAATATAAAGTAGTAACAGAACAATGTATGCATTTACAATAATGTTACTATTTTTATTTTAAAAGAGTCTTTTATTTTCTTAAATTCGTTACATTTCTGCTTCTATCCAGAGAAAAAAGGTTTACAAGTGCACGTGACAACACTGAAAGGTATTGTAAGTAGTTTTCAGCTCACGGTTCCTTGACCAAGATTTGAAGGAAATTTGAGAAAATGTCCCTGTAACGACGGGACATCGCGAGTTTAAAGAATTTAAACATTCATTTATTCGATTTTTGAAATTTACTGATTACCGTTTACCCAGATTACCTTTGCATATTTTCGAGTGCACTTTTGTCCTTTTTTCCGTCGACCTTTCTCGAAACAGCTTTATACATCGTAAATGTGCGTCATTAAATATGAGGTATGCATCGTAGGACATCTATGAACAACGCTTTTGCAGAGGCTCATTTTCTCTGCATTTATTATTCGTCGAAATTTTATTCAGTAACCATAATTTCCTTTAGAGGAGGTATACCATAGAAAATTACGGGCCAATTTCAATCGCTAAACCAGTTTGCGTTGAATTGCGTCTCAAAGGCGCAGGTTTTTGACGAGTGTTGGTCGCTATGACAAACGCGGTCTCATCCAAAGACTTCGATCTCGTCAGCTTGAGACGAGATGCCTTTGTTAAGTCTTTGTTATCATTTGTTAATTGTATTGTCTTCTCGGTCGGTTTTTCTCTTTTTTCTATTGAAGCGCGTTCAATCTGCACCGTGACAGTTCGAGTGTCAGGTTGAAATACGTCATATAAGTTTTTATAGCTTGTTAAATGCGGATATGACATTCTTCTTTCGATTACTGCCATATCTTGTCCTCTACGCACGATGGATGGACGAATCCAGTATCCACGTGTCTCCGCTGCCCAAGATTGTGACCGCACGAAGCGTTTAGCTCTTTTGGTGTCAGAAAGCTCACCCATACTTACAGACTCAGAGAAGTCATGGGGCCGCCTCGCGTGACGACCTGTGCGAACCTTTGACTGAATTTCGTGAGGTTTTCTGAAGTTAAGTAGGTCGTTTACGGCCTCCCTGTGTCTTCTGTGTCTATAGAAATAAAGCGTAGGATTTACGATAGAGTTCAGTTGGAAGACAATTTCTGCCCATCGGAAAACGGAGTTCGCCCGCATAAAAGGCGAAATTGGCGAAAAAACGTGTGCGATGATTAGAGGTACACTCAAAATTAGAAGGTCAGCTGTTAAGAGAAACACAGTGAAGGCAATTCTGCTTTCTTGCCTGGCCTTGATCAGAGCATCTACTTGACTGATTTGGCGTCGGTTCCCTTTTCTTATTTCAATATAAATCTTGAAGTAAAAATACAGTTTCAGAATCTCGCCAATGAACCAGACAATGCTGAAGACGATGTCCAGAACGTGAAAGACCTGATCAGAAACACCAGCTGCTTGTAATGCGATATACAATGTAGGTCCTGTGAAGGCTGCTATCCAAGCGAGTACCGCGAACCTCTTTAAGCGTCGTTTTGTAACTATACAGTTGTACTCCATACATTTTACAATCGCAACATACCTCTCCCAACCTAATAAAATTAAGTGATAGTACGAAGCAGCATAACCACTGTACATGACTAAGACAGTTAAGTCAACCATAGAGCATGTAATATTCCGCTCCAATACAGTACCTTGTAGGATTATCGCATCAGTAGTAATGGCCAGTGGCGTAGTAACTGCTCCCTCTAGGAGATAAGTGGCGGCCAAACTAGTGATTAGAATGTTACATTTCTTTCGGCGTAAATCGTTAGTTTTCAGGATTGCTACGATCACTAAGATGTTCAAAAAAATGGTAAATAGACAAGTGACGGCGGCGACGGCGATTGCAAGCTGAAGGGAAGTTTTTTCCTCCAAGTCCCAGACGTAATGCGGTGCACTTGGACAAATGAATACTGTTCGGGGGACGTTTACGAGCGAATTTCCAGCGATACTGGCATTCATATTGATGACCACTCAGTGCTGACGGCTAGGTACTTTGCAGCAAGCTCTAAAGCATTCGTTGCTTGTCGCAACTGATTGCGAGAGAACTTTTGTTGAGAAGGCTTTTTCAAGTCTCATTTCCGACGACCAAGATCGAAGGTGTTGGAAAGAAATTTCCTCTTGAGGATGTTGTCGCGTTTTATATGCAATAGAGAATAATGCTCCGGCGATGAGAAGTTTGCTGCCAATTAAACAATTTCATTTAAGAGTTTCTTCCTTCCCTCTTAAGTGTTTTTGTAGATTAATTTTTTTTACGTAAAAAAAAGAAAATCAGGTCTTGCTCATTTTCAGTGAAATCCTGCAAAAATATTGGTAAATTTCTCATCAGTTAAAAACTGACGAGAAATTGATAATGTACAATTTCGGTTAGCAGCAATGGCCAGTAGCGTAGAAACTGCTCCCACTAGAACTAGGAGATCATTAGCGGCCAAACTAGTGATCAGAATGTTGCATTTCTTTCGGTGTAAATCGTTGGTTTTCCGGAAAATTGGTTCCTCTAAGTCCTAGAAAAACTGCGATACACCATAACAAGCCAACTCTGATCGGGAGGTGTTAATGAGAGAATCTCCATAGATCTCATTCTCTTGTTGACCGCGAGAACGGAACCTGAAGGATTCATAGCTTATTGGAAAATTGTTGCAAAATCAGCTGTTTACTCTTTTTGAAAAATCCCTTTCAAAAGAACCATTTGCGAAGACGGAAGTCACAGATGTTTTAGGTGAAATTTTCTTGGAAGTGAATGAAATGCTAGCTCATCGATGAGAAATTACAACATTGGTGAAGCTAATCAGCGTAAGAATTTTTCGTAGTTTTCTTTAAAAAAGGGATTTTATGCTCAAAAGGCAAATAAGATTCTACTCACCAACCCCTTAATAAAGAGTGTATTTCAGTAATTTCATTAAATTCATTGTCTTCACTCCAGAGAAACAAATCGGGAAGACTTTTGTAAAAAGCGTCCTTGCATATATCTTAACGAAAATTTTATCGTATTTGAATAAAGGAAATAAACACTTGCGGCACTTGTGTAAAGTTTCGAACATCAACGGAAAGTCTCCCACAATTTTTGGGGGATTTACACACTATAAAAATTCATATTCTTTATCGATTCGTTTAAAATGTTGAATTAATTAGAGTTCAGTAGCGCTGTGAAAAATTGGCTTTCACCTGATGTTCGATTTAAAACACGCCACAATTATTAGTCACACCTCAGCTCATTATCCGTTTCTTTAGGATGTGAACGACAGAGCAATAACATGTACATTCTCCCGCGATGATAGGTTTATTGTTTGGGATTTATTTATTATTTCTGCAAATAAATAAATAAACCATTTCACTTCCAAAATCTGACTCAGTACTTTATTATACGACAGTTTTGGTCAACATGGCGAGCAGGAAAAAGATTTTGTTTTAAAGATGCAGCCAAAGTCGGAAATTTGGCGACTTGTGCTTGGTGGTAGCTATAGGAAGTTAAGTGGTCCGTAAATAGTGGAACGTAAAGATGCGAAATAATCCTTTTTAAAATATGTTTTTCTATTACGACTGTGTAACACTAGTACAAAGTGGGTCGCCGCTCTCGTTCAAGAGAGAAAGAGGTCGGATGTGCCCCTCTGGCGCGCTATTCATGGGCGAAAACTATGCGCATTAAGCAAGTGCTATTTGGTAACAAGGAAAAACGGTGAGGAATTGACAATTTAACCGATTTTGTATCTTGATCAACAGTGATCTCCTGCTGGAAGCTGCCGAATGCCTTCTCCTCCCGAAAAGGAAATCACAGATACATAGTCATAGAGTTGTGCCCAGGAGACCCACCACAGTAAACCACGTACTGTATGCTATTGGTGGAATGAGCCGCAGAGAGGCCAGTAAAAGTGGGGAAAAGTATGACCCACGAGAGAGAAAATGGAAAACTATCGGTAAAGTTTATAGCTCCTATTTCTTTCTTTCTTTCTTTCTCCGTCCCTCCCTACTTTTCTGTCTATCCGTCTGTCTGTATGTCTTGTCTTAATCCCCTCTGGCATTAATTAGAATCAAACTAAAAAAAAAAGTAAATAAGAAATATTTTCCGAGTGTTTACACATCAAAACTCACATTTTCCAAAAAATATTAAAATGTTTATCCTTTTTCGCCTCCTGTGTACTGTACATAGTTCTGGACTGTACAAGTCTCATAATGTGAGGTGGCCTCAAAACAGCTTCTTCATGATTTTTTTATCGTCGAAAATTGTGCTAGGTATAATTTTCCAACTTCGTAATTTGCGGTCCTTGTCGTTGTCTTCCATCCTCGACCGACATGGCTCCCTTTTGCTCCCCTGTTTGTTTGTTCGTCTGGTTATTAAACGCATTCATTTGATATTTTGTGGTTTCTTTCGAATGGAAGTTAGCTGTCTGGTAATAGATTAAGGCTTCTTTAAAACCTCGTCACTTTGGAGAGCTCAACAAGTATTTTTCTGGTCTTCTTCTCTTAGGTGACATGAACATTTGCCGCTGGGGTGCTGCGGTAGGTGCTTTAGGTCCATTTCTTTACATCTGTGGTGGCAGCGATGATGCATCGCGACTGGAGACAGTGGAAAGGTTCGATCCATTTTCTAATGTCTGGGTACCGTCTGTCCCAATGTCGTCCAGTCGTAATGGTGTTGGTGTAACGGCAGGAAATGGGAGAATTTACGCTATAGGTGGGTTCTATAGAGGAATCAAGGTTGACCTCTTACAACTGGTTCCGGTTGTTCGAAGGTTGGATGACGCTTTCCACTAGATAAATCTTTATCAGGTGGATAGGGCAGTACGTTTTGGTAACACTTATCTGTTGGATAGCGATTTATCTGTTGGATAGTGTTATCTGTCCTTTGAACAACTCGTCTCTGATTGATAACGTTAAAGATTAAGAATCGCGTCTGGCTATTCTGTTGTTACGCAGACAGTGAGTGTACACCACATGAATATGTTTAGAATCTAGCCCAGCAATGTGTGCTTCGTGTAATCTATTGTGTCGCTTGGAAAGGTGAGAAACGCTGTGCTCTTATAGTCAGTGCGCTGGGCTTCAGGTCGAGAGGTGAGGGTTTTGGGTCAAGAGGTGAGGGCCTCTCTCCACCTGCAGGTTTCAGTATAGGCGAATGCCAGGAAAGTGTTATTGAAAGCTGACGAATTTTGGGGGGTAAGGTAACCTTTTTTGAACTGTTATTCCATTCAGGGGGGAGTCGCAATGCCGCCCAAACAAAATAAGCTTATTCCAGTTGGACGATTGGGCTTGAAGGCTTGAAATGTGTCTCTTGAGAAGTGCCATCGCTTTTTTTTCGGGCTCTTTCTTTTTTTTTCGTCATCAGTTACTTGTTTTCCCAAGCCTGTAACCACCCTATTCTTCCAAGATTGTGAGAATGTTACAAAACTTTACTTGGTACGTTTTTCATAAATTCTTGTGAACGTCTCTATTTTGCGTTTCTAGGTGGTTTTGATGGCTCGATGCCGCTGAACACAGCCGAGTATTATGACCCCAAGAATGGAAAGTGGATGGAGATTGCTCGTATGAACCAGTGTCGGTTTGGTGTGGGGTGTGCTGTAATGAATGATGTGGTGTATGCTGTTGGAGGCTCCGATGGAACAAATCTTAGAACTGTGGAAAGATATGAACCAGTCACAAACACATGGATGATGGTCGCATCCATGAGTACAGCAAGGTGGGTTTGATAACTTGATTTAGCTCACATATTTTAAAACAGTATTCGTCAAATAAAGTATAGAATGAACATTAGTTAAATTATCTTGCCTGGGAACAAAAATGGCGTTTATTCCGCACTACTATTAAGTCGTCCGTT